TTCATAGCAACAATCCTAGGGGGCTGGTGCTTATGGCAATACTCCTAGGGGGCAAGTGCTTATGGCAATACTCCTAGGGGGCTAGTACTTATGGCAATACTTCTAGGGGGCTAGTGTTCATAGCAACAATCCTAGGGGGCTGGTGCTTATGGCAATACTCCTAGGGGGCAAGTGCTTATGGCAATACTCCTAGGGGGCAAGTGCTTATGGCAATACTCCTAGGGGGCTAGTGCTTATGGAAATACTCCTAGGGGGCTGGTGCTTATGGAAATACTCCTAGGGGGCTAGTGCTTACAGCAATTATCCTAGGGGCTAGTGCTTATGGCAATACTCCTAGGGGTTGGTGCTTATGGAAATACTCCTTGGGGGCTAGTGCTTACAGCAATTATCCTAGGGGCTAGTGCTTACAGCAATACTCCTAGGGGGCTGGTGCTTATGGAAATACTCCTTGGGGGCTAGTGCTTACAGCAATTATCCTAGGGGGCTAGTGCTTATGGCAATACTCCTAGGGGGCTAGTACTTATGGCAATACTTCTAGGGGGCTAGTGCTTATAGCAATAATCTTAGGGGGTAGTGCTTATGGCAATACTCCTAGGGGGCTAGTGCTTATAGCAATAATCTTAGGGGGTAGTACTTATAGCAATAATCTTAGGGGGTAGTACTTATAGCAATAATCTTAGGGGGTAGTGCTTATGGTGACAGTTCTAGAGGGCTAGTGCCAGTGCTGACAATATGAGGAGGGTGGTGGTGCTACATTAGAATACAGTATGTTACTTAAAGCCTTGCAAAATGACACATTTATCACAGGTGAATAAATGTGATGTCAGCAAAAGAAGACATCTGACACTAAATCAGTACACAACATTGTATACCTGTACCTAATCTATTCTGAGTTCCTTTTCAGTGATTTTGGAATGTCTGAAACATGACAACATTCCTGTGCTACATAATTCACATTTTCTATATTCATATGGTAATGTAAATCAATAGTTACTGTACTCACACTACGATAGGTCAAACCACACTAGCACTCAGCAATTGATTACAACCCTAACTGAAATTCCTTGACTAAAAGCGCTTGAATTTCAATTTAATATATTAGCAAATGAACGCAAATTGATATTGCAGGCACTTTTAGTCACATATTTCCTTTCAATAGAACAGTTGCTGAGTTTTCACTTTCTGATTGTCAATACTCTGATTCATACTTTATGTCTACAGTTACAACTACTAATAAAGGTTTTGATAATGACTCACTGGGAGGAAAGTTGTTGCTAGGGATTATTGTTTCCATGGAAACAAGCAAAGGGATGTTATCCTGCTGCATTTTGTCATTAATATAATTAGCATGCTTTGTAAAGCAAATTTAATCAAAGAAAGCTTTATATAGAAAGAACTCCTGTGTGCTGGGGATATTTTTCTTTTAATGAGAGGAATCTGGGTCAGAATTATAGATGAGTTTAGGTCAATACAATACCAAATTGTTTGTAGTCACTGGTGTATATGATAGTCACGCATGTAATATGCCTTAGTAATTTGATACATGCCATCCTGGATTATGGGTAATTCACCCAAAAACATTACTATATGGTCAATTCATTTGCAATGTGAAAGTTCACTGCAAATGACCTTATGGATATTTTATGGTAACTTTTGAATAAATGGGGATATTACTTGACTCATTAAAAGCTTTAAAATTGATATTGAACCAAATTTTAACATTATTGCCTATTCATGGGAATTATAGAATTCTCACACTACAAAATTAAAGATGTCACTCTAGCTATAAAATGAGCAATATGTATGTATACTGTGGATAAACTTATACACTTCCCATTTCCTCTATGGTACATACATGTGTATATCCTCATATGAACCATAAATTAAATTGAATTGATATTGACACCACGGATCATGAATCATCCTGGTACATAATAAATTATTTTCTAGAGCTGAATTAAACTGATATGTG